TTTTTATGGCAAAAAAGAGATCACAAGTTAAATGGCTGAAAAAAGTGTCAAAAAATGGTAACCAAATCATATAACTGCCTATATATTGACCAAAAAAAGGCCTAATTTAAAAAAAGGGCAATGTCATGCCCTGCGTCTTGAGATGCTCTTTTCAACAAAAAAAAAATATTGATATATTGAACGGACCAGGACCGAGAAATTTGGGATGGAAAATGAGTCATTTTTGACCCTTCTATGACTCATATCTCCCTGAAACCTAAAGATTTTGGCCTGAAAATTTTATGGTAGTCTTCCTTATCTAGTGCCAACATATCCTGAGAGCTTCATCTCATTTGAATGTTCTTGGGCTGAAATCGATTTTTGAAGGGGGAGTGGGGGCTTAACTCAATTTCAGACATTTTGGCGAAAATTCACTTTTTTGAGGGGGGGGGGGCCTTAATCTATAATCATGTGATAAACCTGACGAGGGAACGTTTTAAGCTGTCTAATCGCTTTTGAGTTCGAACCTTGTGCAACAGATAGACCCCGATGTAGTATGAAAAAAACCAAAAGATTAAGTGCCCATAGGTCTTCTGTCCAAAGTTATAGGCATTTTACTGGAGTTTTAGCCTATTACACAGTATATACGAAAAAATCGAATGATAGTATTTCGACTTGAGATTTTGCCCAGAGGCAGGTCTATTTATGAGTAGAATGTCCTGAAAATTTCAGCTGAAGAGGGCGTTTTCTTCCTGAGATATTTAAGTGCCAAAAGAAGAGAAAATTCTAGCATCTTTTATAGAATATGAGTCACTTTCGGCACTTAAATATCTCAGGAAGAAAACGCCCTTTTCAGCTGAGATTTTCAGGACATTCTACTCATAAATAGACCTGCCTCTGGGCAAAATCTCAGGTCGAAATACTATCATTCGATTTTTTCGTATATACCGTGTAATAGGCTAAAACTCCAGTAAAATACCTATAACTTTGAACAGAAGATCTATGGGCACTTAATCTTTTGGGTTTTTTCATACTACATTGGGTTCTATCTGTTGCACAAAGTTCGAACTCAAAAGCGATTGGACAGCTTAAAACGTTCCCTCGTCAGGTTTATCCCATGATTATAGATTAAATGATGTTTGAAATTTTATGAAAAACAATATTTTGCTTTCGAAAACCATTATGACAAACAATATAGATTCATAACTACTTAGTTAAAATAATTTTGCTTTTAGTTCGTAGAAAACCTTAGTTAGATACGTGATAAAAGCTTCATATTTATACAAAAATATATGAAAAAAAATCAATATTCATTATGATGGCTATCTGCAAAAGATAGTGATTATCTCTTTAATAGTACCAGAGTTCACTGTCTCCTTTTATGGTTGATATCCTCATAACATCTAGAGCAAAAATATACGTGAATGAAATGAAAACGAGCGGGATGGGGGGGTATAGGCGCCAAATCCTTTTCAGAAATATGTGCATTATTTTCAATCAAATTGTTCATCGACTGCAGCAAAAAACAGAAAAATCTACCAAGAAGATTTTGTGTATTCTAAAGATCAATTTTTATAGAAAAATTATTATTAATAACTATGATGAAAAAATCAACTATTATCTAGTGATTTATATTAAAATGAGAATAGAAGTTGTCAGTTCAATATTGATTCTGTTCGAAGTTTTCATTAGTTGTAATATTAAGTTAGTCTTTCGCCAAAAAGCAAATGATTTTGAAAATAATTCAATGTCCTATTGACTCGACACATAAAATAAAATGTGTAATTGAGCATTTTGGATTGAACTCGTTTTTATTGATATTATCTTTTTTCATGCTTTCAACAAAGTCTTGAATCATTAGTGCATACTCCTGACGACGTGCTTTTTTTCGTGCACAAAGGAGAAAATTTGACTTACCATTCAGTAGTAAAAGAGTTTTAACCAATCTTTTCACTTCGTTTTCGAAATCATCGAAATTTCGATCATTTGCACTATTTCGTCCATGTTCTTTGGCACCCCGTACAAAGCTGAGAATATACTCTAGCTTTGCAGAAAATATTAGCGAATCCATGTTTTTGACGATGGCAGATTCAAACACTTCAATGGCAAAAATTGTTGTCAACACATCATCGGCTTTGAATTCCGTATGCCCAACATTTTTCATCCATTTATTAACCTCAATAATAATATCATTTGGGTTTCTCCTGCATGATTTCGAAAGGCCTAAATGCACACATTTTTTCCAAATGTACAAGGTCCAGTCATGATCATTGCGTTTATCACACAGAACGCTATAGATTTTCTCATCCAAATATTGACAGTCCTCGGGAATTTTGAATATATAATCAGTTAACCATTCGTCCCTGATGATCATTTCTGGTTTATTTTTTTGAAAAATTTCATGACTAAATTCATTCAACCTATCGAATAGAGATGATAAGATGGTACCGATGTTTTGCGGCATTAGTTTGTGCTGTTTGAACAATATCTGTTGAATCAATCGTAAACATAGATCATTTTCACTGAGGTTGATTGATAATTGTACAAGGCCTATGTTCAATAAATCTTTGAGATTATCATCTTTTAACTTAGTTAAATATTCATTATCTTTGAATAACGCGTCAACATATTGATCGAATGTTGCTTTCAAGACATTCATAAAAGGTAACTGAGACTCGGTTTTCAATGTTTTTTGGGTTTCAGAAGCACGTTTCATTATAGATTTGAAATCATTGAGATATAATGAATCAAAATATTTTGGTAATAATGAGGTGAGACATTGTTGAATGCCTTCGGTGAAATCAATTTTCGGGCTTAAACTCAGAAAAAGATTCCATAATTCATACGGATATTTGCAATCTATGGTTGAAGTATAAATCGATAAATACTTCTCAAAGCAATCTTTATAAGTACTTAATGCCACTAGTATGCAAATAACATGCTCTGGTTTGTACAATTTGTTTTTCATTCTATCAGCGAATATTGGTTGAAATTCAGAGAAAAACATTCCAACATCTAAACGTAAGTTGTCCAAAAGTTGAATGTAAATGTCGAAAGGAGATTCTTGACTTTTTCCCTGAATATTCGTGTTCCCTGCTACAAATGTGAAACCTGGTATATCTATAGGAGCGAAGTCAAATGCTTGCTTGTAACTCATATAAGTATCAAACCATTCTTCTAATGATATTGTAATCTTCTTTACTTGACAAAGTACAGGCTTCCATTCAAACGTGAAATTCCTCTGTTTCGCGTACGATTGGAATACTAATTTGCATAAAGCTAAAAGCGTTTCTAATGCTTCGACATTGTCAATAATTTCTATCCAGGCTAGATACTCTTTGATATTAATGAACATTAGTAATTCCATATCGTCCGTTTGTAGATTTGGTCTATCACCTTTTGTATCCTTAAATACAGATCTTAGTTGTTTGAATAATTTTTCTCTTAATTCCTTGTTTATTTTCAGTTTCCATTGGTCCGAGTTCTTGTCTATGATCAATGAATATTCTGATATACGTCGATAAATGTAAAAAAATGAATCAATTTGATTTGAAAATAACTTAGAGTCATCAGCTGAT